TCAACATGCACGTAAAAGAAACCAAATCCCTTGCCCTCATTTAGAAGTATGAAGCCTTCAGAATGGAAGAAGATGAAAACATTGAAACAATGTTCTCTAGATTCCAAACTCTGGTGATTGGAAAGTGGTTGCCGACAGGTATGCAGAAGAGAACAAGTAGTTGAAAGCTCAGATTGCAAGACTCACAAGAAAGCGTCGGTGTGTGGAGTGATCTTCATCAGCTTTGTTGTTTTAGGATTTTATATTCTAGCTTTTCTTGTACTTGGGATCGTTGAAACTTGTACTAAAAAGTTGTAATCTATTTTGAAGTTATTATAATGATATTTTAAGTATTTCAAAATGTGTTGGTACTTTAGTATTTGCAAAATTTTCTATAATTCTTTGAGTCCCTTGAAATATTAATAATAAAAAAAATAAATCATGTGCATCGCATATCATGCATCATCTGGTACATATTTCTTTCATTTCTGTTCAAACCCAGGTTTCGTACTGAATTCCTCTACTTCGTTGAGCAAGTTGTCTCACTGGTACAATACTCAAGCTAATTCCAGGAAGAAAATGGAAAATCTTGAACAAGAGAATCGCGAGCTGCACAAGGAAGTTACTGCTTTGAAGGCCAGTATGGCTAATCTGACTGCTTTGATGGAATCATTGGTGGCCTCTCAGAATCAGCCACCACTTGCTCAACCTCAATAAACAATAATCACTTCCGAAGGTCCATCAGTTCTTGTTTCTGTTACCCCAGTTACTGTTGCTTAGAACCGTATTCCCCAGGGTTACCCGTAAGGAATGCCTGAAAACTTCACGCTAGAAGGTTTTAATCTTGACACCTAAGCTTCTCTAGTTGTGCAAGTTGCTGCTACTCTCGCACCTCCTGTGGTACATATTACTCCTGCTGCTAGAAATGAGATCCACTATACTGCACCTCCTTCGGTGAATGCTCTGCCATTTTTTAATGATGAAGTTTATCGTCATGTTCCTCCATCGAGTGAAAGTGTGGGTTTCTATGACCGGTTGGATGACTTTCAAGATCAGTTCAATGAGATGCAAAAGGAAATGAAGGCCCTTCAAGGAAAAGAATTGTTTGGAAAAAATGTCAGCGAGCTCTGCTTGGTTCCCAATGTAAAGGTGCCAACCAAGTTTAAAGTACCGGAATTTGAGAGGTACAAGGGAAACTCTTTACCTCGTGACCACCTTGTGATGTATATCAGGAAAACGTCTACCCATATTGATGATCAGTGTTTGCTCATTCATTTCTTCCAAGATAGTTTAACTGGTGCTACTCTGAAGTGGTATAAGAGTATGGATAGTAGCAATATCCACACCTTCAATGATCTAGGGGAAGCCTTCATCAAGCATTACAAGTACAATATGTTCATCGCGCCTGACCATGACCAGTTAAGGGCAATGGCTCAGAAAGACAAGGAGTCGTTCAAAGAATATGCACAGAGATGGCGCGAGATAGTTGCCTAGGTGGTGCTAACTATGGGAGAACAAGAAATGACCAAGGTCTTTCTAAAAACCCTGGGATCATTTTATTACGAAAGGATGGTTGCCAGTGCACCAAGTGATTTTACTGAAATGGTAAGCATGGGTATTCATTTGGAAGAGGCTGTTAAAGAAGGGCACCATACAGTTTCTCTCAAAAGAAAGAAAGTGAAACGAATGCTGTTATTAGAGAAAGGAAAATTAGACCAACTAGAAGGCCTCAACGGTACCAGTAACAAGTTACTTCTATGACTCCAGTCTTCAATGTAGCTCTAATCACAGTTTCCTATCAGAGACCATCTCCTCAAGGGAATCAAGGGCAAAGTCAGAAGAGCGAGGCTTTTGAATCCATCCCAATGAGCTATGCAGAGTTACTCCCGAATTTGATTCAGAAGTAATTGGTATAGACCAGGCCACCACCTGTTATACCATCACCATTACCTTGGTATTATAAGGCAGACTAGACGTGTGATTTTCATCAGGGTGCTTAGGGGCACAATATTGAGAACTATTATCCTTTCAAATTTGAAGTACAAAAGATGGTGAGATCTGGCCTTTTATCCTTTAAAGATGTTGGCCCTAACGTGAAAGATAATCCATTGCCAAAACATGGAGGAGCAAATGTTGTAAACATGGTTGCTGGTTGTCCTGGCGATTTTCAGATTTTTGATATCAACCTGGTTATAGGGGATTTGGTAAAGATGCATGCTGATCTCTGTGAGTTTAGTTAATATACGCATGACCATGTTGGTTGTGGTATTTGCAGTACAAATATCCAAGGATGTGATAAGATAAAAGATGATCTTCAGGAAATGATGGACGAATGCCTCATTCATATAATCCGGCCTAGAGCAGAGTACGAAGAAGATGTGAATATGGTATTTGGATGTCCTAGAGAATTCCGCATTTTTGACGTGAATCATATGAATGATGATTTGGTGCAGTTGCACGCTACCTTCTGTCACATGGATGGTCAAGAAGAACACCATTATGGGTCTTGTCGGATCTGCTGCAGAGATTCTTGTAGTTGTTCCATAATGAGGAAGGTTATTCAGTTGATTTTGGAAAATGGTACTATCAAAGTTTCAGGAAATAGAGATGATTACAATGGGATTAATGTGATTGAAGATTACTTGGCTGAGATTGTGTCAGATGATGAGTATGCTTCTGCAGATAAATTCTTTTCCTCGGATGAAGATGTGTTTTCAAGCAATGATTCTATGATGTCTAAGTATTCTGAAGAGGTGTGATTGTTATTGTGCCTTGTTTTGGTGTTCCCGCCCCTATAGAGATTGAATACCATAGCAAACCAGATGTTGTTCCATTGGTGATTTGCTTGCCGGGTCCCATTCCTTACGAATCAGACAAATTCGTGCCATACAAATATAATGCTACAATCTTGGAGGATGGTGTGGAAGTTCCCATTCAACCTTTGTCTGATGTCAAGAATATTGCTGAAGCCAGCTAGGTGACCCGCAATGTCTGTGTTTTCGCACCTATCATTTGAGGGAATGTTAATGCTAATAAAAAGGTTGCTGAAAGTATTAAACCTAAGAAAGCTGTGGGGAATCTAGTGGTACTACTCTAGAAAAGGATGTGGATAATATATTGAAGATTATCAAGATGAGAAACTATAGGATCGTAGATCAATTGTTGCAGACTCCACCAAAGATATATATTCTAGCCTTGCTAATGAACTCTTTTGCTTATATGGAATATTTGATGAGAGTATTGGATCAAGCTTTCATGGAAAGTTCCGATTCAGTAGTGTTGTCGGGAATATTACATCTTGTAATAACCTGGGTTTTTGTGATGACGAGCTGCCCGATGAAGGAAGAAATAATAATATGGCTCTCCATATCTCCATGAACTACAAAAATGACTCATTGTCAAATGTGTAGATTGACAATGGATCCTCTTTAAATGTCATGCCAAGGAGCACACTTATGAAGTTGAAATACCAAGGAACTCCCATGCGCCCGAGGGGCATAATTGTGAAAGCTTTCGATGGATCAAGGAAGCCTGTCATCAGGGAAGTAGATTTTCATATTCATATAGGCCCGAATTTATTTCATATTGTAATACCCCAAATTTGTCCTACCCTTTCACTTTTATCTGGCTTATGAATTTGGCACTTTACTCATGTACATTACTCCCATTAGGTCATCTAACACATCATTCATTCATTAATCAATAAAACATGGCATGTGATCAAAGATATTGAGGAATTAGGGTTGTTGTATGGCTTTAAAGTTCTCATCTTCGCTCAAGGAATCAACTGGTTTCATCATCAATCATGGTTTATGGTTGCTATAGTTTTTTGTGTTCAGGGTCACTGAGATCTTTATTCTCCTCAAGCTACAAAGATCATCAAGTTTCTCCATCAACGGGTTTTAACTTGTTAATGCAAGGCTTTTCATCAATACCTCAAATAAAGACTTTGAAAGCAAGGGCTTGGGCCTTCTCAGCATCTCAAATGCATCTCAAGAGGATTAGGGTTTTTATCCTTGGTGTTTGCGCTTGTTAATTCAGTTAAGGTTCATCAGAGGTACTCTCTTCTGCTCCAAGTATCCTTTTCAGTTTAAAAGACTCTTCAATGCATTTTTGGCGTGTAAAAGTGAAATACAAGTTCAAGTAATGGCAGGAGAGATGAACTTATCGACTCATTCAAAATAAGACAATTCTGGTTCTCATCATTGTTACTTGTTGTTGAAAATATAAGTTGGTTTAGAATTGAGATTGAATTGGAATAATTAATCTGGGATTATTGATTGGTGAGTGTTCATTCAAGTTGCCTAATTTGTTTAGGTAAATCAAATATCACTTTCAAAATTGAAGAGTTTGTGGGTAAGGTTTTCTTAAGAGGTATTCAAGTGCCATTCATCATTCTTCAATCTTATTTTTCAGATCCAAAGGTTCCTTCAAAAGCAAGACATATGGATTCATACGTGGGTGTAAAGTTAAAGGAAATTGTGAATTCGAGTTCTAAACTTAGAAAGGAAAATCATGTTGAATCTTTTGAAAGAAGTATCATGTGAATTCCAAGATTCATGAGGCATGCTTTTAGATCAAAGTACCATGGCTTAAAATATCCAATACATCACCATACAATTTCCAATTGTCATGGAAATTTCAAGTTGTTACAGAATATCATGGTTCATCCAAGTTCACCATGTTGCATTCCAAGTTTCAATCATAATTCCATTCATACATTAGAAATGATCCAGAACCATTTTAATATTCCATTTAAAAACCATCCTTCCATTACAAAGCCGATCCAAATACACTATAGTTAATTTAACCATAATATTACAAAAAAATACATATCAAAATTCACATTGAAATAACCAGAATCTATGTATTCTAAACATAAGGATCTAAGCATTACATTTATTAATCTTCATGTTCATGTACACGTTGCTTCGATAATCTTCATGCCTCATATCGCAAGCTACCGATATAGCGCCTTCCTTGCCTAAAACCTATGCGAAATATCACAAAAAAAAACCTGCATGAATAACACTAACAGAAAATCAAAAGGAGAAAAGGATATAAAACCCATCCAACAATATGTGTTCAAAGTTAAAACAAATCCAAGCATACTAATCATAAAGATCCACTTATTTCAGAACCAAACACATCAATACAGCCGCCCATACAAATCCCAGAACATATGCAAATTCAAACAAAGAAAATGCCATTTTACTGTCAATTCCTAAACTACCCTGCATTCCTAAAATCCCCTAACCTCCTCTCTAACAGAACCAACTAACTTTCCAAACCATAACTAATAGCTCATTCATATAACAAACTTCTCAACAGAAAAATGGATGGATAATAGATAACAGAATGTATCAGAAAAGGAAAATAGAAATATGTAAAAGAGTTGAACCATGAGAAAACAACAGAAAATCAGAACCTTCAAGCTCTCAATTAGAATCGATCTCTACCATCTAATCTTCTAACCAACTCCTGAAATCAACAACTGAGATTCAATTTCCCTTTAAAATTTTTTTCCATATTTTAACAGAATATATGAACAAAATCTTACCTTCCTCAAGATCTTCTTCACCACTTGGGGGAATCAACAGAAAAATCCACAAAGAATTCCAGAAAAATCACTCCTTCCGAAATCTTCATCACACAACTTCATCTTCATACACCTTCAACCTTCCACTTCATTCTTCACGATTCCTACAATTATCATTGTAGGTCTCCAATATTCGATCATTTTCATCGCACAGTCATCACAACATATCTATCATATTCTCTGTAACCAAAACTGCAACAACATCTCTCCTCATATACCTTATCAAAAGTGAAAAAATATAGGAGACGCAGAAGAACAAATTTAAATCAAAGAAAGAAGGTGCAAATACCGAAAAGCACGTACGAGTGTGTACCTGTTCGGCTCTGGATTTCTTGGTTTCGCCGCCTCATTCAAAACAACGTTGGAGCGACTCCGACCAGTAAGTACCGAAAACCTCTCTATCTCCATCTTTTCATGATTTTTGTCGATGCTATAATTCTATCCGAGACGTTCTGAACATTAACCCTAAGGCCTTACTTTCGAATTCGCCTTCATCGTTGTTCAATTGTGCTTTTAAGTTTTTAGGTTTTTAGATAATGAGATAGATAATGAATTGAAAAACAAGGTGAAGAAGTGGAATGTGAAGATTGAGACGGTGTCGTCGCTGATGAAAATCAAAGAATCTAGAGATTAGGACAGGCATGGAGGCACAATATTGATTCAGCGGAGAAGGAGTTGAGCCGTTGTGGATGAGGGAAGAGAGTTCTCTTTTTGAAAGAAGCTGAAGCGCTACATTTTCGATAACCCTAATGCAAGTGCATAAAACATAACCGTTTTGGGTTTTATTTTTTTATTATTTCATTATTTTATTTTCTTTTTTTGGATAATCGTAATAATAATAAGAAGTTGGATAATGGATTGGTGATGTTGTGGGCCATTCACTATTACACCCCTTTTGAAGCATGTTTTACCTTTTTTTGGAAACTATTTGCAATTGAACAAAAAAACTATTGGTGGACATTACTGCATGTTGGGCCCAACGCATATCTACTGTAACACACCACTGATCCAACTTGGCACCCCCCTGAGTTCACTAATTCTTCATTAGAATTAGGACTTTTTTTGTTGTTAATTTTTGCCAATAAAATACATGATAAAAATAATATAAAAATATTAATAAGGGGATAGTAGAATATATTAGAAATTTCTTAGGAATTAATTCTTTAATTTTTTTGGAATTTTCTTATATAAAAAACTAATAATAAAATAATACTTTTTCTTTCTTGTTTTCATCCGTATTTTCATGCCGCTTTGACATGTTACCTTTGAAGTGTTTGTTCATCGTGCAAGGTACATTTTTATGCTTTTGATCATGTGACATAACAAGTTGTCATGTGATCGAGGCATACAACTTATGCTCGCTTCTGATGCGACGTGCCTCATATCTCATCGTCCTGAGAAATTCATATCATATTATATGTTGTCCTGATGCATGCGATATGATATGACGCTTTATACAAGAACTTCTAATTATGTGTTGCATTAGCAACACGCGTTTGCCTTTATCTTAGTTGGATATTATTTTTTACTTTGTTTGTTTCTTGGTGAAGCTTTTTTGACGCATACTCCCTGCTTCTCCATTGCTTTCGTCCGCTCTTGACGATTTTCTTGCTTTTGGTAGTCGTCACTACTACGTCTGTGCTTCTTCGCACTTTACTACATTTCTTTACCGCTTTTCTAGAAATCATGAGAAGTAGGACTTTACCGCTTTCTGATGCCATGAGAAGTAGGGTAGAAATGTATGATAGGGGTCTCCATTGCTGATCATGTCAAGAACCCCTCTGGTTTATTTAAATACCTGTTTAGGGCAATTCTACATTGTTTGTCACTGCTTGCTACTTGTGTGTGGTTTGTTTAAAACCCTACCTTTGAGTAGGTATTCTGCAAGTGTGTTTATATCAGTGCCCGCATATGTACAGATGATAAGTCCTCAAAAGAGGCGAGCAGGGAGGGTTAGCAATCAACCCCCGTAATTTTCGTCTGTATCATCCTTAGCTCATGACGCACCATGATGCTTCAGAGTTGTGCCTGCTCTTGTTATAGATTCGTCAAGTGAGGAAGGGTTCCGCAATTGAACCCTTATGCTTTGACAAGAGTTCGCATTAGCTGATGCTGATACTCCGTGATTGTTCATATTTACTTCTATTGCTTACCTTGATCTCATATATCTTAGTTAGGTGTTCAGTCGCTTTGGACATCACATTTTGCTTTTTCATCTCACTTCCGCTTGTTTGTCTCGGGTGATAAGCTCCCCTTGGCTAAAGCATTTTCTTTATTTTTATTACTCTTTTATGTGTGTACTCTTTCGAGTTTTCTTGCTTTATCCTTGTACATACCATGTTCCTTTAGGATGTGCTTGCTCCTTTTGGTGTGTTGAACTGAAATATAAGTGCAAGTAATGGCAGGGGAGATGAACTTATCGACTCATTCAGATTAAGGCAATTCTGATTCTCATCATTGTTACTTGTCGTTGGCAATATAAGTTGGTTTGGAATTGAGATTGAATTGGAATAATTGATCTAGATTTATTGATTGGTGAGTGTTCATTCAAGTTGCCTAATATGTTTAGTTAAAATCAAAGTTTGCTTGCAAATTTGAAGAGTTTGTGTGTAAGGTTTTCTTAAGAGGTATTCAACTGCCATTCATCATTGTTTAATCTTATTTCGTATAGCTAAAGGTTTCTTTAAAAGCAAGACATAGGGATTCATACATGGGTGCAAAGTCAAAGGAAATTGTGAATTCGAGTTCTAAACTTAGAAAGGAAAATAATATTGAATCTTTTGAAAGAAGTATCATGTGAATTCAAAGATACATGAGGCATGATTTTAGATCAAAGTACCAAGGGCTTCAAATATCCAATAAATCATCATACATTTTCCAATTGTCATGGCAATTTCAAGTTGTTACAGAATATCATGGTCCATCCAAGTTCACCATGTTACATTCCAAGTTTCGATCATAATTCCATTCATACATTAGAAATGATCCAGAACCATTTGAATATTCCATTCAAAAACCATCCTTCCATTACAAAGCCGGTCCAAGTACACTATTGTTGATTTAACCATTCCATTACAAAAAAATACATATCAAAATTCACATTGAAATATCCAGAATCTACGTATTCTAAACCTAAGGATCTAAGAATTACATTTATTAATCTTCATGGCCATGCACATGTTGCTTCGATAATCTTCATGCCTCATATTGCAAGTTGCCGATATAGCGCCTTCCTTGCCTAAAACCTGTGCGAAACATCACAAAAAACCTGCATGAATAACAATAACAGAAAATCAGAAGGAGAAAAGGCTATAAAACACCATCCAACAATATGTGTTCAAATTTAAAACAAAAACAAGCATATTGATCATAAAGATCTACTTATTTTAGAACCAAACACATCGATACAACAACCCATATAAATCCTAGAACATATGCAAATTCAAACAAAGAAAATGCCATTTTACTGTCAATTCCTAAACTACCATGCATTCCTAAAATCCCCTAACCTCCTCTCTAATAGAACCAACTAACTTTCCAAACCATAACTAACAGCTCATTCATATAACAAACTTCTCAACAGAAAAAGAGACGGATAACAGAAAACAACATCTAACAGAAAAGGAAAATAGAAATATACAAAAGAGTTGAAACGTGAGAAAACAACAGACAATCAGAACCTTCAAGCTCTCAATTACAATTGATCTCTACCATCTAATCTTCTAACCAACTCCTGAAATCAACAATTAAGATTCAATTTCATTTTAACAAACTTTTCCATATTTTAACAGAATATATAAACAAAAGCTTACCTTCATCAAGATCTTCTTCACCACTTGGGGGAATCACCAGAAAACTCCATAGAGAATTCCAGAAAACTCTCTCCTTCTGAAATCTTCATCACACAGCTTCATCTTCATACACCTTCAACCTCCCACTTCGTTCTTCGCTATTCCTTCAATCATCATTGTATCTCTCCAATCTTTGATCCTTTTCATCGCACAGTCATCACAGTATATCCATCATCTTCTCTGTAACCAAAGCCACAACAACATCTCTCCTCATAGACCGTAACAAAAGTGCGAAAATATAGAAGAGGCGGAAGAACTAATTTAAATCGAAGAAAGAAGGTGCAAAGACTGAAAAGCGCGTATGAGTGCGTACCTGATTTGTTCGTCTCTGGGTTTCTTGGTTTCGTCGACTCATTCGAAACGCTGTCGGAGGGACTCCGACCAGTAAGTACCGGAAACCTCTATATCTCCATCTTTTCTTCATTTTTATCGATGCTATAATGCTATCCGAGGAATTCTGAACATTAACCTTAAGTACTTACTTTCGAATTTGCCTTCTTTGTTGTTCAATTGTGGTTTTAAGTTTTTAGGTTTTTAGATAATGAGACAGAGGATGAATTGAAAAACAAGGTGAAAAAGTGGAAGGTGAAGATTGAGACGGTGTCTTCGGTGGTGGTAATCAAAGAATCTAGACATTAGGATCGGCGAGGCGGCACAATATTGATTCGGAGGAGAAGGAGTTGAGCCGCTGCGGATGAGGGAAAAGAGTTCTCTTTTTGAAAGAAGCTGAAGCGTTACATTTTTGATAATCCTAACGCAAGAGCATAAAACGTAACTG